GAGGGCCGCATCACTGACACACACACACCCCTTGCTGCCCCCAGCCCTACCCCCACTCTACCCCTTCCATGAGGCCCCGCCTCTTCCCACCCCTCCCCTGCCCCCCATTCCAACCCCTCCCCTGAAGTCCCCCCCCCAACTCTGCCCCCTCCCTCCCCCAGAGGGTGCATGAGGGGTGTGGCGGAGGCTCAGGGCAGGGAGTTGAGGTGCAGCAGGGGGTTGGGGTGCAGGCAGGGGGCTCAAGGCAGGGGATTGGGGTGAAGAAGGGGTATGGGATGCAGCAAGGGGCTCAGGGCAGGGGGTTGAGGTGGAAGAAGGGGGCTCAGGGCAGGGGGTTGGGGGCCGGGGTGGCAGCGGCACACACCGCGGCCAGGGCAGGCTGCCGGCCCCAGCCCCGCTCTGCTCCGGGAAGTAGCTGGAACCTGGGGGAGGGGGATGCAGGGCTCCACACGCTGCTTGCCGCTCCTCCCAGCTCTGCTCCGGGAAGTAGCTGGAACCTGGGGGAGGGGGATGCAGGGCTCCACACGCTGCTTGCCACATATCCCGAAGCTCCCATTGGCCGCGGTTCCCCCGTTCTCGACAGGAGTTCTGCTGGTGCAGCTACAGCAATTCTTTGAATGATTTTATGCCAGCTGAAGCACTATCAGCATAGCTGTGCCTAAACTGGGGTTTTTGCTAGCATAGCTACATTAGCTAGGGCGGTGATTTTTTTTTTCCTTCCACACTCCTTTCCGACATAACTTTGTAGTGTAGACTAAGCCTACATCTTGGTCCTATATAAAACACGTAGCAAAAGCTCATAGTTATGTACCTGTACCATCCTGTGCCGTGACATCCACACCATGCGTCATCATAATTCTGAGGCACTCAGCATGTCCTTTAGCAGCAGCCACGTGAAAACTGAAAGACAATTACACTCAGCTGATTTTATTAACATCTCTTTTCCATTAGCATTAGTAAGCCAACCGTTCAGCTTTTCCATTTTGCATCCCTCAACTCCTCCAATATTCCCCAAGTATATAATGAACGTGTGACTGCTAAAAGCGTTTTCCTTCCATGTTCATACTTCTGCTCAGAATGACTTCTTACTAACCAAGTACATTACACACATCAGTTCCTATCCAACTTCGAAACTAATAGCCAAATCCTGGCCCCACTGAAGTGAGTGGCAAGACTCCAACTCAAGTCAGTGACGCCTGGACTGGTCCTCAAGCAGAAGCAAATAACACACTTGTACTGCTCATCTACCCTCAATAAGTTACCGAGAGATCACAGATATTGCAGAGTTGCGAGACTGTGCTATAAACATACTCTAATTTTGGGTTTTGCTTTTCACCATGCATTATCTTGCTTGTTGGCAAAGTAGGAAGTTGTGGAAGTTGCCAGCCACTAGAGACCCATTCAACAGAAGTAATGGCTAAAGACTTAACTACAGAGTAGACAGCAAGAGTTGTATTCTATCCAACATCTTTGATGTTTCAGGATTTACAGACTGTGTCCTGTGAACAGGCAGCCATGTGGTTTTACTGAGGTATGCCAGATGACCATAGCAAGATGGGAAGCAGAGGGGGAGGGATGAAAACTGGAAGAGTTTATGTACAGCATGTGCAATTTGACTACAAAGATGATTCATACGAGAGACGGTATTCTGAGTGATTTTACTAGAAAATGACTCTGCATACCAAGTTGATGAGTAATTTGGACAGTAATTTGCTTTCAGATAGCTGTGTACATTTCTCAGGACCACAAGTTGTGGTGTAAAACCCAAATCCAAAGGACAAAGGCAGTTCAAACTAAACCCAAACCACTACAAGTGAGAGATATGGAGGCAGCTTAGCACGCATGCTAGCAATTGTAAAGAAACCAAAACTCCAATAGAAAGTAGCTTTTTGGGAGGGTCTTCTAAAAGTTTGATTGCTATCAATACTACCAATCTCATCTGATGAAAACAACAGATTTCTAAGATCAAAAAGGCACGTTAACATCTCATCATCTCTCCTTCCACCCCCCCAAATATCAACTACTGTATTTAAGAGTTTACATTTTGGATAGTAGTTTTAATATTTAAAGGAAGCCAGCATCAAAGAGTTGCTTCCAAATGGGCATCAGCCCACTAAACAAGATCTGTACAGAACCCTATTGGATCCTGGTAGACAATTAGGACTCCTAAGCACCACAGTAATACAAATAATAAAGGAAATGTGAGATAAGTGACAACAATTCTGCAGAGGTTTCTGGCAGACGACATCTGAACAGCAACACTATATATACTCCACTAAACTGCATGTACCATAGCTATGCAGACTAAGTGTATATAAATATTGTATAAAAGGTTCTACTGAGAAGTTAGGCAACAATTGGTGGGTGATAATGATCTAGACTGGAAGTGGTTTATGCTACGGTTTTGTCTGTGGTTAAATTCAGTGCTCATTTACCAACCCTTCTTTCCTTAAACCATGACTATGACCTACATTGGTGGTCTTGTCTTTACTCTGCAGCTTGAGTGCTCGGATTGCTACTAATAAACTCAATCACTTCACTGGCCTCTCATCATAAGCATATTTCGCAAGTTCTTTGGGGCAGGACCTTTTTCTTTCATGTGTGTTCAGCACCTAGCTCACTGGGTCCCCACCCAGTCCCAGATTAGGGTCTATGGCAGTGCTTCTCACACTTTTGTACTGGTGACCCCTTTCACACAGCAAGCCTCTGAGTGCGACCCCCCCCCTTATAAATTAAAAACATATTTTTATATATTTAAACTCCATTATAAATGCTGGAGGCAAAGCCAGGTTTGGGATAGAGGCTGACAACTCATGACCCCTCATGTAATAACCTTGAGGGGTCCTGACCCCCAGTTTGAGAACCCCTGCTCTATGGGCACCAACATAACATATGCAATATACTAATTGGAACTAATTTGCAGCCTTTAAAAAAAAAACTCAATAGAGATGAAAGGACCAAAACCCAAGAGTGCTGATGACTTTAGCAGAACACTTAAGCTTTGGCTTAGAGCACTCAGCAGCTCGCAGAACTGAGTCCTAGATCACCCCACCAGACCAGCACTGCCGATCACTGTGGCAGAAGCTTGGAGTGCACTGCTCTGGCTTTAAACTGTCCTTGGGATACACAGAAATATCCTGCACATTCGTCATGGTGCCCACCACTGCCATAAATAACAAACTAAACATTTAAAGCCTTTCTGAAAATATACTAAAGAACTTCAGAAGAATGTCTGGCTGGAGGGTGATATATATTTATATATTAAAATCAGAAACAAGACTCATGTACTAAGTGACCAATAAACAGAATCTTATAAACAAGATTTTTCCAGAAGAAAATATTTCTCGGTGTTCTGGGAAAAATGATTGGGGGAGGGAAGTGACTTGACTGATAAAAATCCAACACCTCTAATTTAGCTAGTACAACATTTCTCCAATATTGAATCAGAATCAAACACATTTGTGTAGATATACAATTAGATCATAGCTACCCAAGACTAGAATTTGCGTGAAGGACACACTCTGCTTGTTTACATTTGGACACTATTTGTCAGAATCATAAACACTTGCATAGTAATAACTTGGCTAAATCAGTGACATTATGATTTACAGCCAGATTCTGTTTGAATAGGGGGCTGTGCCAAATGCAACAAAAATACCCAAGTGCATAATAAAAAGTTTTGCTGTATTTAGATAAAAACAGACTGCAGAGAAAGAATCAATAAGTGAGGGAGGGAGAAAGCAATCCCTTTCAGGCTGCAGAATGCACCCAGGTGTCTAAAAGCAACACTTCACTGGTGCAAATGACTGACACAGCACACTGCCACATGCCATCACTTACATGAATACCAAGGATCTTGCATGCAGTAAATGAATCAAGAAGTCTTCTCATTTTGTAAGTTTAAGGGAAGATGATGTATCAAACTCATGGAAAAGTCATTCCAAAAAAATTGAGAAGGGGAGAGGGAAGAACGTACACAAATAAGTAAGAAAAAAACCCACGAAGAATATGAAGTGAATATTATCAAACCTGAGAGAATATAATGCATAGTGAATAATTTGACAGGTTTTACCTGTTTGCTAGTTTTTTGTCAGCAGCTTATGTTTCTTTATGATTATAGTTATTTGAAAATATTTGCTGACTGCCTATAAGTAATTCTTAGTTTGTATCAGAGGGGTAGCCATGTTAGTCTGGATCTGTAAAAAGCAACAGAGAGTCCTGTGGCACCTTTAAGACTAACAGATGTATTGGAGCATAAGCTTTCGTGGGTGAATGCCCACTTTGTCGGATGCTCCAATACATTTGTTAGTCTTAAAGGTACCACAGGAGTTAAAACCTCACTTCTTTGGATGCATTAGTTTGTAGTTGACTCAGATAGTTAATATTTTGAAATTTGAGCCATCATTCAGGTTTCTGGTACAAATCTTCACATTTACGTTTTAAGTTTGCACTGTGAATATTCTAGTAGTTGAGAAAATTTTACTCTTTCCAAAAGCATTCCTGCTTGCAAACTTATTTTCTGAAATATTAGTGGGAATTGATCAAGAAGTCAAACACAGGCAAAGCAAATTCAACTATTCAAACACATATTTGTGGGGAAATACTTTGGGTATTCACTCTGATCACAGCACTCCTCCATATGGGAACTCTGGTATCTTTATCTACACTGAAGTTTTCAGATACTTTAAATCTGAAGTGCCAAAAGAAATTCCCATAGGATAATTTTTTAATATTGTTACATTCTGTGGCATTACATGGCGAACATATGCAGGTTTTCAGCAAAGAACAAGATTTAAACTACAAATTAAAAAATGGACCCAAGAGTCAGAAGGAAAGAAAGTTGCTGAATTTGCCACAATTTTTCATTCCTCACTGAAGAGGTCAGTGTGGCTTTGTATACTTACTGATCCCTTTAAGAACCTCAAGCAAGAGGGCAGTTTCTCCAGATGTGTCTAGATCTAGAACTGCTTTTTCAATTCCAGGTGGAGATTTTACAATCTTATTATTTATGTAATGTGTTACAGATTGTGCCTAAAAAGCTAGGGGCCTAGATTTTCAGGCGTGACTAGTGATTTTGCTTTAGTGTTTGGGTACGTAACTTGAGACACTTTGATTGGGCCAGGTTTTCACAAAATGCTGAGCACTCATCCTCTGGAAGTCTTTCAAGATATCTCAGTTTGGACTCCCAACAATCAGGGCTACCAAAAGCCTAGTCACTTTTGAACGTTTAGGCCATGACCTCTGGCAAGTCCAGCTTACAGTCAACATGTACGACACAGCTTGGGTGCAAGAAGATGCACAGGTGTTATTGGAAAGGGCACAGGAAGACTATGCAAAAAAATAAAATGGAATTTAAAAAGAAGAGTGGACATATGTGGTGGAAGCCTACTGTAAGCCTATAGGGCTGTATGAAAGACTACATGAAGCAGACCACGTAAGGAAAAAATAAAATACAGAAAAGTATACAGAGGCACAGGATGTAATCAAAGCAAAAATGTAAGGGGGAGGGCCACACCTGGTCAGTACCATAAGAGGAGAGGATGAGGATCTTTAACTTAATGTTGAAGGAGACAGTGACCAGTGAGTTCAATCTTATTCGACTGAGGATGGATAGAGACTCCTGACATCGTCCAACTGAGGCAAGCCAAGTCAACAAGTCATGTTTAAGGTAGAACAATTCTGCCCAAAAAGAATAATTCTGCTGGCTTAGCAATATACTCTGGTTTAAAATGAAAATTACAGGCTTTTCTGAATAGTGGATACTTTTCCTAGAACCATAGAAGATTAGGGTTGGAAGAGACCTCAGGAGGTCATCTAGTCCAACCCCCTGCTGAAAGCAGGACCAATGCCAACTAAATCAGGAGTAGACAACCTATAGCATGCGTGCCAAAGGCGGCACG